AGAGAGAGAGAGAGAGAGAGAGAGAGAGAGAGAGAGAAGTTAATCACTTTAAAGCAAAAGGAAAAAGCACAGCAGTGAGTTCCTAGGATTTTCTCTTTGCTTTCTATATCTCAGGCTAAATACTGGAGAAGCTAGAAACTGCCAACAGAAATGGGCTTTTTTAACATCCCCAAGTAAATCCTCCTTAATGTAGTCCAAGGACCAGGAAAAGCCTAAGACAGGAAACTTTTAGATAACAACTCCTTAGCCCCAACCAAACACCACCTCTGCCAACAAATGCTAAATGTAGAGCTATGACTTCCACCATTGTCATGCTATAAGGAAATTCTTTAGATTCCTGCTGTGGTTGCAGCAGGGAAGGCCAAGTAGGAGAGAATATGGGCAATTGAGATTCTTACTCCAACTGGCAGCAATAAACCACTCCTCTTACCTCTTCACTGAGGTGGTATCAGAGGAAGCCTAGTGGAAATTCAAGAGTTTTATCTCTACTCACCAATAACAATGATGCCTTCTCACAATATCAGTGGAGGCCATAGGGCCAATAAAGTAACATCATTCCCCTTCTCTGCTAGATGGTTTCAGTGTAGGACTAGTGGGAAGCCTAATAGCTACCTTCGCCCACCAGAAACAAGAGGTCCCTCCCTAACCGGATTCCATAAGAGGCTAGATGGAGAACCCAGATTTCTTCTTTATGTGGCAGTGCAGGCAACATTCCCCCTTCACCTACGAGAGAAGTGTCAAAGGAGATGTGATTTAAACAACCTGGATTTAATTAGAATCATGAGCTATATAATAACCCAGGGTTTCAATTAAAAATCATATCATTCTGAAAATGAGGAAGATCTCAAACTAAATAAGAAAAGAATCAACAAGGATCAATGCCAGGATGATATAAATGTTAAAATTATCTGATAAGAATTGTAAAGCAGCCATCATACAAGCACTTCAATGAAAAAATAGAAATATCCTTCAACAAATGAAAAAAATTAAGTCTCACCCAAAAAATGGTTTGAAATTACTGTCGCCTGGTCATATATTTTGAAACCAGGAAGTGATACCTCTAGCTTTGGTTTTTTTTTTTTTGTCCAAGATTGTTTTGGCTTTGGGGCCTTCTGTTTCCCATACAAATTTTAGGGTTGCTTTTCTATTTCTGTGAAAACATTAGACTATTGATAGGGATTGGATTAAATCTGTAAATCACATGAGTAGTATACACATTTTAGCTATATTAATTCTCCCAGTCCATGAACATGGGATACCTTTTCCTTCTCCTTATTTCATTATCTTTCATCAGTGTTTTGCAGTTTTTCACATATACATCTTCCACTTCCTTGATTAAACTTATTCAAAGCGATGTATTCTTGTTGGTGCTATTGTAAATGTTTTTCCTTAATTTATTTTTCAGATAGTTCCTTGTGAGCATATAGAAGTACATGTGATTTTTGTAGTTGTAAGTTTTTCTAAAGGTATTTTCTTTTATGATGAAGGGAATGAGAATCTTGCATCTCACTAGATATACTGCTGAATCACTCTTCAAAGTGGTTTTACCACAAGACATTTATGTAAAAGAGCATCTACTGCTCTGTACAGTTCAACCCTCAAGGCCATTGGACATTTACTTTTGTCCAACTTTAGAAGTGTGAAATATTTCAGTGTTGTTTTCATTTTCATAACCTGACCTAATGACATGGTGAATATTTTTATTAGTTATCCATATTTCTTGTACAGATTCATTGTATTTTCATCATACCTATTTTGCTAAGTTGTTAGTATTATCTCATAATTGCTAATACTTTATTTTATATTGACACTGACTAATTTTTTTACATTTTTATGTTGCTCGTGAAAAGCTAGATTAATATAGTAATATGGTAATTAATATCTGCATTCAATAACCTTTGAAATTAAAGTTTAATAAGAAAAATCTCTGATTAAAAATTATACTCTTAAAATAATATATATATAAAATAAATCACTAAGAAAATTAAAAGGCATGCACCAAAAGAAAGTAATTACAAAATATATATCTGATAAATGGCTTGTATCTAGAATATACAAAGAATACTTACACTTTGAAAATATTGAAATGAACTAATCAATCACAAAAGATTTGAACAGACATTTTGCAGTAGGAGGTATAAAATGGCTAATAAGCACATGGAAATATGCTGAATATTATTTGTTATAAGAAAGATGCAAAATAAAATGTATAATAAGAAGATGTACAATACCAGTATCATTTAGGATGAAGAGAAATGGGAACCCTCATATACTTCAGTTGGAAATATTACTTTGAAAAATTCTTTGACAGGTTTGTTAAAATACAAACTTAGTTTGGATGTAACCTAGAAATTTTCCTAAGAATCGACTTGTGAGAAATGCAGTATATATATACATACAAGACGATTTGCACATGCATGTTATTAGTATCATTTTTAACACTGGATACAACCTAACACTGTAATAAGTCAAAATTTGAAATGATCTAATTTTCCACCAAGTGGTAAAGATATTGTAGTCATACAATAAAATACTACTTGGCAGTAATTAGGGAAAATCACTAATTATGTGCTACTACATGTAAGAATCTCATAAATATTACACTAAATGAAAGAATACACTCAGAAGACCACATATTGTATGATTCTATTTATTTTAAATATCCAAAAAGGCAACTTTGTATAGTCAGAAAGAACATTAATAGTTATGTGGAATTGTTAGGTAATGAAGGTGGTGATGGTGGGGCTTAAAAGTAAATAGGAATGATGGTTCTTTTGGGGATGAGAAGACAGGTATAAACTGTTTTAGGCATAGTTGAACAGCTTGATAAGTTTGCTATAATATCATTGAATTGTACATTTGAAATAGGTGAATTATATTATATATAAAATATACCTCAATATTTAAAATATACCTCAATATACTTTAATATTTAAATATTATGATTGGTAGGGACTTATGAAGCACATAATTAGTACTGAATTTGATCAGAGAATATCTCAATTGATCAAAATATGTTATGTGCATATATAATCTGAAAAAAGAAACCCATTAATCTGTATCACAAAGAAAAATAGAGTGGAAAAAAAGAGAAGGAAATATGGTTTAGAGTTTCATTCTAGAAAATAGTAAGAAATAAAGACAATAACATTAATTCATGACCTTTAAAAAAGGCAACTGATATTCCAGTAGACTAGTAATCCTTATGTCGTGCTTCATATCACAACCCACAAGAATTATTGGCAGGAATGACCCAGGAACTGAACAAGTACAAAATAATGGATAACTGTCAAGAGCAGATCCATGAACCATCTGCATCACTGATTTAGATACAGAATTAAAAAAAGGTGCTGTGGAAAACTTCTTTTTATCATAAAAGTTTCATATAAGTCTAAAATTTTCACTGCTATTACTAAAGAGGGCAAAAACTAACATCTATTACAGGCATATTTTCAATTCAAAGCAGGACAGGGATGTTCTAACAAAATATTTAATGGTAATTTGCTTTTCCCTTCTAATCAGTTCTTGTAAGTCCAGAGACTGTGTTATTGGTTTTATTCATATTTGATTCACACACACTGGGTAGAGGGCACCCAGAGAGACAGACTGGTGATGTATTAACTCAAAGTAGTTCATAGCTGTGCAGTCAAGGGCGCAAGGGGAAATAATGGTGATGGAAGAAAGTCAGAGATGAATGCCTGTACTGAATGTTGGTCCCAAAGGCACAGGAAAGGGCACAAGCAAACAAGCATGGACAAACAAGGTTCCAAATTGGGAGGATTAGGCACAAGTTAGGGGAGTTCCAGAGAGAATGGATACCATCAAATGTTTTGTACCAGACACTGTTTCATGGCTTGAGAGCAGTCTACTGGGTTAAGGCACTATGCAGTTGCAGGAAATTAGAATTCTGTTATACCTCTGTACACAAAGGACCTCCCTACCTGGTCTTTTTGGCACTGAGACTATTCATAGCTGTATATATTAGTTGCTTTTCACTGCAATCATTATTAGTCTAGTTTGACTGTTCCATATTTCACTATTTTGCATTGTTTATGCACAGCCTGTTTACCTAGAGGATAACTGATATTTTTATGTATGTACTTAAGGGAATTTTCAACTGTTTCTTTTTTTTAATTTACTAAGTTTATTGGTACATTTTAGGTATACAATATGATGACATTCAACATTAGGAATTTATACCTTTACATGATATATCTTGGTTTTTATTTTTTTCCCATTCTCCTGCCCTCCCTTCAACCCCTCCATCCCTCCCTATTTACAAATACCTTGTTTCCAATTTTTACTTTTCCCATATTTTTTCCTTTCCCTTCTTTCCTTTCCCCTACCCCTCTGATTTCCCCTTCCCCTGGTTTTTTTTTTAAATAAAATTGAGTACTACTCAGCCATAAAGAATGAGAAACTAGAAACATTTATAGCTAAATGGATGCACATTGAGGCCATACTCGTAAGTGAAATAAATAGGACACACATGTGTAAATACCGAATAGTTTCTTCGGTGTGAGAAACTGAAAGTGTAAAGGAGGATCAAAATGTATAATAGGTAATGTGAAATAGGAAGAATGGGTCCAACATATGGTTCCTACACCATGCAACCTATTTCTGTTTCTATTTCAGCCTGGAAAGTTTTAGAGGCTGCAGTCTTGTTACATGATCTGAGAAATGGCTGTAGGAAACAACACTCGCAGAAGTTATTCCATCATCCCATGTTTTATATTTGTTGAGGTATGTATATAATTTTTAACTTTTATGACTAAGTTGAAATAATACTAGTAGATTTCATGTGAGAATTTAGATTATTTTATAAAATTATATAATCTTATGATTCATAGGTAAATTTTGATTGCATAAATAGTAGTACATAATAAGCTACTCAAGATGATTCTTAAGTAGGAAAACAAAAGTTAGAATGCTTTTAAACTTTATCTTTGGGGTACAGAATGAATAATATTTTATTATATTTCATTTATTTTCAGTGGTGATGTGAATATATTAACTGTGAAAGAAAATGCATTATGTTAATTAAATTCTTTTTTAAAAATCAGTATTATTTCTCAGGAATTCATTAAGAAATTCAATTTTACTGATCTGTTAGGGTATTTTATGGTCTTTTGCATTGGAGCCCAAATTAAAAATTTTTGAGTGGAGCATTTCCACTGGGTATTTTTGTGCAGTGAGGTACTAGGAGCTTGTATAATGTGTGATTTCTTTTGATCATGAGTTATTTTGTAGAGTTGCCCTAACTGTGTGCCAGCAATCAGTTTCCCCAGCACCTTTTTAGCTAAATTTCCTGCACTCTTCCCAACTCTACCTCCTACTCTGTAGTGTTTGTTATAGAGAAACTAAATACATGTAAATTTTATGAAATTTGAAATCATATGTTTTTTAAAAAGCTATTCTTGGGATGATCTCAGAATATGACATTGATTTACTGATGATGATATTGGTTTTGTCTTCTCAAGGAGAGAAGTATTTAAGGGATTATTTTTTAACCTGTGGATCAGGTTTACAATATAAGCCAGGTATGGGGATTCACTCCTGTAATTCCAACACTTTGGAAGACTGAGGCACTGTGCTGGGAAGTTCAAGCCCAACCTGGGCAACTTAGCAACTTAGTGAGACTCTGTCTCAAAATCTAAAATGAGCTGGGAATAATGTAGCTCATTGCAAAGGTCCTGGATTCAGACCCCAGTACTTAAAAAAAAAAAGTAACAGGATATAGTACCTGTCTAAAGCTGCCTAGAGAGTCTCTACATCCTGAGGTCAGCTGTAGAGCATTCTGTGTTGTGATTTCACTTTGGCTGAGTTGGGAAGGACATGGATGTTGGTCTGTTCTATTATCTGCATGAAAACAGACATGTGGGTTAAACCACTACTTACATTAGTAAAAATGGAGTTTTATTACATGTGTGTTTTTATACACAGACTATGAATTGTTTTGATATTTTTAATTTAAAGTTATATCTCCTTCAAAGAACTGTATATAATAAGGATATTTTAAGCATTCTGATTTTGAGCCAAATATATGTGTCTTTGACTGATTCCTGAATTTCACTTTATGGACATCACTTGGTCGTTTAATGTTTCTTGAACATTTATCCTCTGGTGATGTTTGTGAACCAGTTTGTTTGTATTGCAAAATCAGGAAGAAATAGGAGAGAAGATTTGGACAGAGATGTTAATATAAATCAAAATACATATAGATTTAATCTAAGCTAAACCCATGAAAGGGTCAATAAAAAACTCATTTCCCAACAGTAGACACATACTACTTATAATATGCCTTTAACTTGCTGAGCAATGTGAAAGACAACTCCAGTGACACAGTAACTACTATTATATATACTGTGGATTCTAGTTATTGTTGAAATTGTGGTGTAGAAGAGTCCTTTTTATGCTATTTATGCAGAAAAGTAGAAAATGTAATACTACCCTTCTAAGTATTTCCTCTCTTTTGTCATAACAAAAGTAAAATTTTCAAATAAGCTGGGGGAAATTGGGGAACAAGTCATCTGTCATCATCTTTATCCTCCCAGCTGTACTTTTATTTTAAAATTTTTAAAACTCAACCAGAACCAAACCTCAAAGTGAGAGATTTAATTTATTGCTGGAAGCTGTGGTCTATGAAGGTTTTCAGCTCTCTAATGCATGAACGATGAGCTTGGCTAGTAGAGCAGCACCAAGAGAGATAAATTCATCCTTCTGTAGCTCACCTTGACAAAAACATAAATATAAGTCTAAAAATCTGCGAAAGGAAATATGATTTACTCTTTTTCTTTCTGTGCTGCTGTTCTTTGTATGAAAGTTTAAGATGCATCAGCGACTTCCCTTAGAAATAGGCACGAGAAAGAAAAAGAAAATGAAGTAGAACACAGTAGAAAAATTGAGTGGAGGTGGTGAATCTCATAGTAATTCATGGCTCTCAGTCTTCTAATACACATCTTTTTATTCTTGGTTAATTACAAAAGAACTTGAGCACAGAAAATAGTAACATCCACTTTAGCTGCTTAAATTTTTGCCATATTTACTTGACATAATTTTTCCAAGGAAATAAAATATGAACATATGGTAGAATCCTATGATTCTGGAGTATATATGTGAATTGCATAACTATGTATGTAAAATAACTGTATTTGTGAAGTTAGAAACTTTCTTACCCTACATGATTCCATGCAAGTTTTTGTATTTTTTTATATGTGCCTATACTCATAAACAATCCTTTAGGGAAATTTACATAAATGACACCTTTGAAACTTGTGTTTTAATTCAACATCATGTTTTTGAGGTTATCCATATTGGCAGTTTTTTCATTTTAATCATTGTATTTTATTCTATTGTGCAAGTATACCTAGTGAGAGACAGTTTAATACATTTGTTTGCTTAATGATTTCTCATTCAAAATTTTTATTTAAAATTATTTCTGTCTCTGCATGCATGCATGAGAAATCTCCCTCAGATTGACCCCTACCAGTAGTATTTCAAGGGTGTATATTACATCTTCCAGGGTTTTTTGTACATTATAGGAACCACATCTATAATCTGTGTATCAGGTTTTTTGAAGAAACTTCTAAAAGCTCTATTTTTAGCATTATGTATGTCTGTATATTTATTTTAAATTTTTAATTATATTATTTTACATTATCTTCAAATAATAGATTTATTTCTTCATTTCCAATTATTATACCTTTAATTTTTTCTTGTCATATTGCTTTGGTTAATACTTCCTGTGTAATTAAAATTAGAGGCAGTGCAGAGAATATCCTTGCCTTGTAACTTGTAAAGAGGGTACTTTGAGTCTTCACCATTAATTATAAATAATGTGGACAAGATTTCTGTTTCTTTCTTGCTAGATTAGATGATTTAATTTATTTAATGCCATTTCCCTCCTTTATTGGTTATAAATTATAAATTACACTTTTATCCTTTAAAAATTACTCCTAAATTTTAAGTATATATACACTTTACTTTAAAAAACCAAAGTTAATCAGTAGCTCTGTCATTCTCTCAATCAAGATGTGTTCTGAGCCCTCTTGAGGTCTTGTGCATTATGCTTGAGTTTTACATTTTCCTTACATTTTCACTCCTTTTTGCAGTCAGACCTTCTTTAGATTTACCCCATATCCATCAGTTGTGCTTTTTATTTATATTTGTTTATTTTTATTAGTACATGTGTACAGTATATAATAATTACATTTGTTGTGGGTATCTGGTACATGTACCTAACACATCTTGATTCATTTTTTAAAAACTTTTATTTTATTGGTACATTTTAAGTATACAATATAATTACATGCATCATTGGAAATTTGCACCTTTACATAATTTCTCTTGGTTCTTATTTTTCCCCCTTCCCCTGCCCTCCCTTCAAGACCTCCATCCCTCCCTATTTACTAAGACTTTGTTTCCATTTTTTCCTTTTCTCCTATTAATTCCATTCCCTTCTTTCCTTTCCCCTACTCCTCCCACTTTGCCTTCCCCTTTGCCCCTTTTCTTCCTATTTCACATTATCTATTA